AGGGAGCCGAGGTCGGTGCGCGCAGGCCGGGGAGGGGGCGGAGCCGGGAGGCGGAGGCTGAGCCGGAACCGCGGCCGCCGGGCGAGCCGGCGGGGTGCTCGGTGCTGGCGTGGGTTGTCTGGGGTGGTTACGGTGGTGGTGGTGTGGCTTTGGCTTGTTTCGGGACCGGGCCTTGAACCCAGTGTCTTGCTTCTCTAGACTCCCGAGCCGCAGCCTCCCTCCCCCCTCTCTACCCCCCCAGAGTAGTGTTTGATGGGGGGGGGGGTAACAACGGAAATAATCAACTGACCAAAGCGGGGTGGGGTGGGGGGGCGATCTTGAGAGCCTTTGAGGATGGGGATGGAAGGTTATGTAAAGATTACAGAGTGGCGCGGCAGCTCTAGGTGTTGGTTTTTGCGGCACCGAGATCGAATCATCCAAAATACTGCTTTGGCAAGACAAGCGCTCCGAGTTAACGTCCTCGACCTTTTTTTTAAATATATTTTTATTTTCGTTTGAGATCGGGCCTCTCAAGTCACCCGGGCGCGCCTTGAGCTTGTGCCATCAGGTGTAGCCACGGTTAAATGCTGTGGAGTGCTCCTGAGAGCTCTCAAGATTGAATACCCACTTAGAAAACCCTTTCTGTCTTTACCCTGCCGTATCTTACTAGAACGCCACTTGCATTTGGAGTTGAGAACCGGTTTTGAAACTAGGCATTTTTTTGTATGTGTGTGAGAGAGTCCGTGCCTCACAATGTCACATTGTAACCCACGGTGGCCTCAGCCTGTTAACACCATTCCCCTGTCGCAACTGGAAATTGAACCTACGGCTTCATTAGTGCAACAGAATCACTCTACCACTGAGCTATATTCTATTCCCAGCTCCTGCATTTATTCTGATACATAGTTTTCAATTTTCTGTAGACCTCTAAGATGTACCTGGGTAGCACCCTAATCCCAGGTGCTGTTCCCCAGTCCTCGTGGCCAGATTGTAGTTTAAATGGTCTGGGTCCAGGCATCAAGGTAAAATTTGGTTTGGGGGTCTTTCTTTTCTTTAACATTACCTGGCTGAATCAGTGTAGGCTGGAAGGACTGTTCCAGATTGAAAGCCAGGCTCCTAGGCTTTGGCTACATCCGATTCTGCCATTTTGGAGACTTTGGCAGACATTTTTCATACTGGGGCTTTGACATTTTGATAACTGTGATACAAATTATGTTCACAAAAAATGAATTTTAATATGGTCTTCAACAGTTTGTAATATAGACCTTTCATTGACTTATGCCTTGTTCCTTGTGAAAATGCAATCTTCAGCTGGGTGGTTGTGGTGCTCACCTTTAATCCCAGCACTCTGAGGCAGAGGTAGATCTCTAGGAGTTCACCTGGTCTACATAGTGAGGTCCAGGACAACCAAAGCTACACAGGGGGAAAAGAAAGAAAATGCAGTCTTGATGATTTTCTTCACTCATTACGCATGTTGTCCTTTGTAGATTCTCGGGATTTGAAGATGGCTGCACAGTCAGCGCCGAAAGTTGTGCTAAAAAGCACCACCAAGATGTCTCTAAATGAGCGGTGAGGCAGCCAACAGCAACTTCAGCTCCTTCCTAAGAAAACATTACTTAAGTTGGCCCTGGGGTCCAATACACAAAAACCAGTTGTAAGCTAAAAACAGAAGGCTACCAGACCTCTGTTCTTAATTGCATCTAATGTGGTACACAGAACAAATTGGGCGGTTGTTTCAAAACCCCTTATCAGTAGATTTTTATATTAAACTATCTGAAATATTTACGTGGTGGGATCTGTTTTTTTGAAAGACTCCTCACACCCTCCTTTTTAAACATTGATACAGGGGTGGTGCAGCATGATGGTATGGTATATCCTGGCTGCAACAGGCTTGCTGCCTAGTCCAAGGCCAGCAGTGTTGTGGCTGGCCTGTAAGAGGCAGGTAGCAAGCCGTGACTATGTCCAAAGGCCCCTGAATGTCATTCTTGGGCCTTGTAAGAGGCACTTGCTTTGCTCCATTTCACTCTCTTCCCATTCTGCTTTTTAGTTTGTTTTGTTGGAATTCTTTTGACAGCTGTTTGTGTTTTCTTCCATTAACTTAATCACAACAGGAATGATAGAATGTCCTCATAGGCTCCTAAGTGGTTGACTAATTTGTCTCAGAAGTACTGAGTTAGAAAAAGTGATTATTGAGACTGAGAGAAATTAAGTTAAAGGCAGTTTTTGTTTCTGAGAGTTTCATTTATTTGGTGTCTTTCACCATTTTATTATATTGCTGCTAGAACTCCAAAGGCATTTAATGTCTGTTTTTGTTTCTAAAGCAAATGTACTTCTCTGCTCATATCTTAAGATATGACACATTAATTACCTGTATTCATGTGTTACTAAGTAACATGTTAGAGTGTAATCAATTTCCATAATTTATTTGTCTGTATTATTTCAGTGTACTTCGAAGGTGTTCTGGTCCTTCCTCCTGTTTGTCCTTAGAATGAACCCTTCACTCCCCAAAGGTGTAGGCATTTTTGTTTGTCTTTGTAACTGCATCTCTGTCTCTTGTCATCATATTGGCTTAATGCGTGTTTTTCATACTTTCCACTTCTCTAAGAGCTGTTACCTGAGCCCTTGTTATCACTTGTAATTGTGCTGCACTTGGCTGCATTTCTGAGTTTCTGGTTCTTGCAAGTTTGTGGAAACAGAGGAGTCTTTAACCCACATCAACCTTGATCCAAATGTACCACTTTAAAGTTCGTGGGATCTGGAGCTCCTGGTCTAGCAAGCCATGAAAATGCCAATAAGTGTTTTATAATAAAGCTTTTATTTAAACACCCATTTTGTTCGACCTTGAAGCTTTACTAATATGCTGAAGAACAAACAGCCGATGCCAGTGAATATTCGGGCTTCGATGCAGCAGCAGCAGCAGCTAGCCAGTGCCAGAAACAGAAGACTGGCCCAGCAGATGGAGAATAGACCCTCTGTCCAGGCAGCATTAAAACTGAAGCAGGTGAGAGAATGGGTCTTGGCAGTCTGTCAGGCAGTCCACCAAAGCTGTCAGGATATAATGGACGATTCCAAGATGGCTCAAGGCAAAAGCTGAAACTTACCTGAACAAATGTTCAAAGAATTTTGGTTTGGCAGGTACCAGTTAAGTAACTTTTTTTGTTTTTGTTTTGTTTTTGTATTTTCGGGACAGGGTGTTTCTTTGTATCCCTGGCTGTTCTGGTACTCGCCCTGTAGACCAGGCTGGCCTTGAACTCAGAGATCTACCTGCCTCAGCTTCCCAAGTGCCGGGATTAAAGATCTGCACCACCACCACCACCACCACCACCACCACCACCACCACCACCACCCAGCTTAAGAAACTTTTTAATATCTTTCTGTTTTAGGGGAGTTTGACACCTCTGTAGCCTGTTAGTGTTATCAGTGAGGATTGATTATTTTCTGATCCTTACTCTTAAAATAGAATTTTTTTTTTAAATCTTTTTCTACAGAGAACCTTTGTTTAGTCTAGGAGTGATATGTAAAGGTAGAGTACTTGCCTAGCAAGCACAAGGTTCCCGGTTTCAGTCTCACCCCTTCCCAAAAAACAGAGAGTAACTTTGTTTTAGTTGCTTTGCTCTCCATAAAAAATAATTTACGTCGGGCGGTGGTGGCACACGCCTTTAATCCCAGCACTCGGAAGGCAGAGCCAGGCAGATCTCTGTGAGTTCGAGGCTAGCCTGGGCTACAAATCGAGTTCCAGGAAAGGCGCAAAGCTACACAGAGAAACCCTGTCTGGAAAAACCAAAAATAATAATAATAATAATTTACAAGGCCAGGTGGTGGCGGCGCATGCCTTTAATCCCAGCACTAGGAGGCAGAGGCAGGCAGATCTGTGAGTTCGAGGCCAGCCTGGTCTACAGAGTGAGTTCCAGGACAGCCAGGACTGTTTCACAGAGAAACCCTGTCTTGAAAGATTTACAAACTAGAATAATCTTATTCTGCATCTGAGTGGTCTAAGGTTTTCTAAGTGCTAAAAACAGCACGTAGTTTTTACATCACAGTTGAGCAAGCATACAGGATAGGATAATAAAATGTTCTCTTTCACATTTCCAGTAAGAGGTAATCCTGTTCAGGTCTGAAATAAAACCTGCTCTTTATCATTCGTAGACTTTATATGCAAGTCCGGACAGTGGCTGTGGAAGGATATGTCCAAGCTGTGGCTGGGCGTCCAGAGGGCGGTGCCATGCAACTGTAAGGACTTTAACTGGTAGCACTGCATGGCTGTGCATAGAGTCAGCACTTGATAACACCCACCCCCACTCTGAACCTTTGGGCTCACTGACTGAAAATAAGCAAGGCTTTCTGCTTTGTCTACCTTTCAGCCTTGGAGTGGTTAGGTTCATCCATGACTCAGGAAAGCAATAAGCCATAGGCCCACCATTTTCCAAGAGTAAATAAAAATCGTGACATCTCTGATGCACTGTGCCAGGTCCTTTCAACAGGCTAACCTCTAAAGCAGCAGCATCCACCAGCTTCTGCATTGATGGGATGCTCTCAGTCTCTTCAGTAGCCGTGTGTCCTGTTAAGAGCTTCCAGTGTGGCTAGTGCAAATGGAGGAGCTTAATTTTTTTTTCCTTTTACTTATGTTAAGGCCAGATGAAGGGCATACAGTGGTTATCTCAGCATATCGAGGCATTATGAGCTCAAAGCCAACCCAAATTTAGTTTTTGGTTTTTGTTATTGTTTGGTGTGGTTTTGAGACCAGGGTCTCACTATGTAGTTACTACTAGCCTGGAACTCTATATGTAGACCAGAGTAGCCCCAAACTCACAGAAATGTACCTACTTGTGCCTCCAGAGTGCTAGGATTAAAGGTGTATGCCACCACACCCAGATCAAATTTTTTTAAATTTTAAGTAACCATGTGTGGTTAGTGGCTCCTTTGTTATACAGCACAGCTCTAGAGGAAAAGCTGAAGTGTACTACCAGTATATGTAAGTGCAGGAGGAGTAGCACCTAAAGGTGGAGATGGACTCCGTACTCCACAGTTCAGGAGAATGAGTAGACTTGGTAACTGAACATGAGAGTGCAGTCGTGACTTCATCACTGTATGCTAGGGTCTGGAGGTACAGTTCAGTGGCAAAGGATTTGCCTACCATGGGCATGAATTTCATGCCCAGCACCACAAAAGATAATCACCGTGCTAATTGGGGGAATGACAAGACAGACCCTTGAGGTTGGTTTCGCCTGCCTGTGTTAAATGTCTAATGTTAAAAGCCTTTCTCCTAATTAGAAGCATTTTTAAGATTTTGTGCCAGAAAACTAATGATAATATCTCAACATCTTTTTCAGAGCTCTTAATTCAGGGAAAGTATATATGCACAGGCATTTGTATATGCCTATGCCATTAGTGTGTGATGGAGGTGGATTGTGTGCAAGAACACTGTTTTCATTAATACTGACTGGCTTTATGGAAGAACAGAATTGCTAGAACCTTTGTTGTATTCGAGGCTATATTTTCTCCTTTTCCTTTGAAGAACTCTAACTCCATGAGATGTGATCTTCAGAGTCTTTTGGAGAAACTAACCATTGAGAAATTGATACCTGTACTATGTCCTAGTTCTCTGTGTGGTCCTCTGTGGTTAATAGTTGACTTGTTTTAATTTTAACATGAATTTGGCTGGCTCTCTATGAAGATAGATTTGAATTGTGAGTTAAGTTAAGTGAGTTTTTCTTAAGGATTAGCTGTTGGCAAGGAGAAATGTGGAATTTATAGATTTGCAAGTGATGTAAGGAAAGGAATGTTGATTTGATTTGTTTAATTGCATCTTAAGGTAAAAAATAAATAAAAAGGACTGGCAATAGATACTCAAAGGAAAACTGGAGCACACTGGCCCCTGACTGAGAAGCCATTCTTGTCCTTAAGTCTCAAGAATTCAAGTGAACTTGTAATTTCAGTTTACCCAGAACGTGATGCATTTCCAGTGGTGTGTGAGTAAGCCTTTGAAAAAAGTGTAGTCCTTGGACAGGTATGGATGAAGGCATGTCACTGTCCACCTGTGGCTAAGAAGCAGCCAGTTTGCAGCTGCTGCTGTGTGACTTGAGTAGCCAAATTAGTAAGGTTGTCTGTGCTCGTGCCAATGTTGTGGACCATACTAGAGCTTCTTAGATAGAGCCTTTGTTCTGGATCAGAATTCTGCTTTATCCATATTTTGGGGTAAAGTCTTTTGGTTTGGAATCCTTACGTTACCCACAACAGGCTTATATCCACAGCAAGCATCTCACTTGCTTCATTTGTCCTATACTTTAAATTGGCAAATCCCACTGAATTCCTTTTTTGATCTCAATCCTCTAACACCTTTTCTTCCAGAAGAGCTTAAAGCAGCGCCTGGGTAAAAGTAACATCCAGGCACGTTTAGGCCGACCCATAGGTGCCCTGGCCAGGGGAGCAATTGGAGGAAGAGGCCTACCCATAATCCAGAGAGGCTTGCCCCGAGGAGGACTACGTGGGGGACGTGCCACCAGAACCCTGCTTAGGGGCGGGATGTCGCTCCGAGGTCAGTGCTCGTGTGTAGCTGTTAGTGGTTGGACTCTATCTTCTTTCCCTTTCTCTTGGGCTGCTATGATCACATTTGTTTAGCACCGTTAATCCTAAATTTGTATTAATCTAATTAACTTTTGAAATCACATTTTTAGTACTGCTGCATGTGTTTTATCGATATCATTCCTTTTCTGATAATGTGCAATGATGAGAGGCTATGACCTGCATAGCAACAGGTAATTCATGTCATCTCCATTCCATTTGAAAACACCTGCTGCTGCTTGAATCAAAGCACATTCAAGTTCTGGAAATAAGTCTAAGAAATGTGTGGTTAGCATGTGCGAGGCCCTGGGTTGAATATCCTCAATACCAAAAAAAAAAAAAAAAAAAAAAAGATGGGTCTTTTGGCCTTTGTCATGACTAACCGTCTGCCTTCCTGAAGTGAAAAACGGTTAATCTGGAAGAGAGGGGACAGTTTGATCCATAGTGCCTACCTATCTGTATCATACTCTTTGGACACTGTTAAACTGTTCTCTTTATAAAGTTCTTATCCCTTCAAGAATGTGTTGAAAACAGGAATCATAGCATTTATTTTTAAATCTACCATAATGCCAGGCATCTGATTGTTAGCTTATTAAATGTATGAACTTACTTAGTCCCAGCTTTTTCCAAAGATGGTTGTGGTCAGAATTGCTGAATTGAATAAGCTGTTTAATCTGTTCACACACACTGTGCAGTTTGCCCCACCCAGACTAAACATTAACTAATTATTCTTATTTAACCCTCACCGCCTTCCTTTGGTTAGAATCTACTTTGTCTCTCTTGGATTTACCTGCATATACATTGTATGCCTCCTCTCCAAGGTCAAAACCTGCTCCGAGGTGGACGAGCCGTAGCTCCCCGAATGGGCTTAAGAAGAGGTGGTGTTCGAGGTCGTGGAGGTCCTGGGAGAGGGGGCCTAGGGCGTGGAGCTATGGGTCGTGGCGGAATCGGTGGTAGAGGTTAGTCAGCTACCAACTTCAGAGAGTAGCTCCCTTATTTTCCTCCCTTCAAAACTCAGAGCCACCTTTCTGCACAGCTTCAAGTCATAGGCAGGCTTGTTTGTTTGTCTTGTTTGTTTTTTGAAACTGGCTTGTTTTCTAAATTTACATGCTGATAATGCAAAGTCTGTTAGGATTAACAGTTAGGTACACTATCTAGAGCCACATTTTAGGCATTCTTCTCCAGGTTTTTAGAAAATTAAATTGTTCTATTAAAATGATGCAATGATTTTAGGATTTTTTTTTAGGAAAAGTTTAGGATTTTTCCTTTTTCTGTATCTGCCTTCTGTTGCCACCACCACCACCACCACCATCACCACCATTACACACCCATTCCATAGCCCAGTGCCAGTTTAACTTAGATAAGAGAAGAAGAGGAACTGAGGTGGAGTACAGTGTAGAACACTTACCTAGCATATGTGAGGTGCGGGTCAATCTTACACCATAGAAACAAAATACGAGAGAGAGAAACAAAGGTGAAGGAGGATGGGGCTCAGTGGTACAGCACATGCTAGGCTTGCATGAGACTCTAGATCCAGTCCAGCAGCACTGTGAGGTAGTGGGAGGATGAGACCTGGCACCTGTCCTTGCCTCTGAAACCAAGTAAATTAAGCACAGGATTTGTGAAGAACCAAAGACAGTTTTCCTGATCAAGGTTGAAACTGAGATGTGTTACTACCAGTTAGCTGGCTGACTGTTGTTAGTAATCTTACCTTGGTGCCTTGATTCTTGTCTTGTGATCTCGTGGACCAGATTAGAAGAGTTTAATGATGGTGGTGTCGGTACCATATTTTATGGGAGCTTTTCTGGCTTAGAGCTTAGTAAGAAACTCCCAACACCTGCTGATAGGTTGAGCATCTTATTCTAGTAAGCTCTATGGGCAATTGTTCTTGTTCTTTCTAAAGTGTGGGGCAGGTCTTGATAATCCTTAGCATCGATGGTGCTGAAGAATAACTTAGGAAAGAACATTTGATAACAAAGGTTTCTTTTCTTCTCTGCCATTATATGTAACTTGGCTTATTGAATGAAGTACGAGCTTGTATGGGTTTCTGGATTTCCAGATTTCCAAGACAATTTCCAGTTGTCTTGACATGGTTTCTGAGAGAGACTTCAGAGGTAGGAAAGATTAAATAAAGTCGATTTTGAGAAACCTGAGTGTTTGGTTAGTGAATTGAAATCATTTCTCAGATAATAGTTGTCCTAAGGTGACCAGTCAGAGAAGTAGCAGCTAAGTTTTTTCTCTAGAATAACTTTTCAGTCTATGGATACATGGAGTCACCTGATTAGACTTAATAAATTTAGAACAGATGAGATAACAATCCAGAAGGTTTATATGAATACCCTTGATTCTCTGTGCCCTTCTTACTGCCTCCTAACTAACTAGGGTTCTATATGATGTCTTTTAATTATGAACTTACAGTAAGCCCCAAACTTTTGGCGATTCCTTTGTCTTAGGAATCTTTGTTAATCTTTGTTAATGTTGTTTAATAGTTTTCAGCTAATACTACACACCTATAATCCCAGCAACTTGGAGGCTCTTGTTTTGTTTTTTGAGACAGGGTCTCTGGTAGCCCTGGCTGGCCTTGAACTTCTGAGTCTCCTGCTTTTGCCTCCCAGATGCTAGAATTACAGGTGTTCATTATGTGGTGCTGAGGATTGAACCCAGGGCTTCGTCCATACTAGACAAGCACCCTACTGACTGAGCTACACTCCTGCCCAGGAGTGTAAGTTTAAGGCTAGCTGGTCTGCATTGGCAAGACCCTGTCTCAAAGTGGGAAGGGACAGGTGTTGTTTTTTTGTTTTTTTTTTTCTTTTAGTAGTATTTAGAGATGAATACTTAAGAGGGACTCATTGTGTGTGCTTTCCATGTCCTGCTTTCCACCCAGTGTGTTTCTTGTTTTTCCAGATTTCTCCTCTTTGCCCTGTCCTTGAGCTTGTCTCAGCTAGGCCCCTATACCATAATGGGGCACTTTTTCTAGGACCCATCAAACACATGTGTAACTGTCTTCTTTCTTTCTTTTTTTCATTTGGCCAGGTCGGGGTATGATAGGTCGGGGAAGAGGGGGCTTTGGAGGCAGAGGCCGAGGTCGTGGCCGAGGGAGAGGTGCCCTCACTCGCCCTGTATTAACCAAGGAGCAGCTGGACAACCAATTGGATGCATACATGTCGAAAACTAAAGGACACCTGGATGCTGAGTTGGATGCCTACATGGCACAGACAGATCCTGAAACCAATGATTGAAGCCTGCCTGCCTGCCCGCCTGTTAGACTCTTGTTAAAGTCACCACATCTATAAAAAAAAAAATAACCTTGAGAAAACGTGAGAAGAAACCTGATTGATGCTGGAAGGACCTATCACAATAGGCTGTGGACTTACCTGCCACCAGTTGGGGCAATTAGTCTGTTCTGTCTACTTTTTGATACTGTGTTATATGAAACCCTATTTTCCTTTGATTTGGTTGAGTTTGTTTTGTTGTTTATCCAGTCACCCAGACTTCTGTTTGAACAGGAATGCTTTGGCCTTGTGAGTAGAACATTTTTCCAGCCTCTGCCTCACCGTCTTATCTGACATTTTAATATTTCTTCTGTTCATCTTTATGATCCTGAAAAAGGTTCCCAGGAGGGAGCTACTGTTCTCACTAATGTGTGTTCTCTGGGATACAGTTCTTCTACATCTTCCTTAAAACTTCCTGTTAATAGCTAAAACTAAAGGTGTGTCTGCTGTGTGATGGTGTAGGTAGTCAGTTGGAAACGTTGGTATTGCTGCTGGGCCAGGAACAGCTTACACATGGTAGCAGCTTTGATTTGGTCAAGTTGGTGCTGCCTACATTGACATCACATAAGTGGTAGCTGACATGCTGAGCTGGATATGTACAATTTCCACCCTAAAAGATTTTTAAGCTTTCGTTTGGGTTTGTGTCAAGTCCGAGAGACTTGTGCACATCCGGGATAGAAGAAGAAGCCATTCAGGTGTGACACGAGGCAGAAGAAACAAGGGTGGGAACTGTTTACAAGCTAACTGCTGGGAAGGGGTCACCTGATGCTCATGCTGAAGTGCAGTTACCTATGTTTGTCCAGAACCAGTTTGGGTCTAATCCACATAACTGGCTTTATTTGACCCTCTTGAAGGTTTAAGTTCAAGCATATTTTGTCAGCTGTTCAGTTTCAGTGGAATCTTGTACTTCTGGTTCATTACAACAATTGTTCTCTCAAATTCAACCCAAGCTTTGTTTTATTTTTTTGGTTTCTTAAAATGCTGTATAACCTTTTTTTGGGGGGGGGTGTTAGTGTGTCCCTTTATAGTTGAGTTCTCATGCTGTGCCGGGTGGTGGCGCACGTCTTTAATCCCAGCACTTGGGAGGCAGAGCCAAGTGGATCTTTATGAGTTCGAGACCAGCCTGATCTACAAAGCGAGATCCAGGACAGGCTCCAAAACACCAGAGAAACCCTGTCTCTAAACACACACACACACACACACACACCCCGCAAAAAAAAAGAAAGTTCTCATGTTAAAATTTCTGGGGGTGGGGCCGGCAGTGGTGGCACTGCTACAAGCCTTTAATCCCAGCACTCAGGAGGCAGAGGCAGGCGAATCTCTGTGAGTTCCAGGATAGCCAGGGCTACACAAAAGAAACCCTGGCTCAAAAAACAAACAATCCAGAGGTGGGGTGTGTTTGGCTTTGTAGAAAGTAAAACTTTTGTTTTCTTTTTATAAAGCCCTTAGGAAGAATTACCCACCTAGCAGGTACTGGTGTATTGGCCCATGGTACTGTTTCTTTTTCTCTTTAGGAGAAAAGATCAAAGCCTGCTAACTGGTGTGCATTAAGAGCCAGGAAGGAAATACTAAACACCATCATCTGAATTTGAATCCTTACTTGCTTAAGGTGGAGAGTCTTGAGGGACCCAGTGGAGATGGACTTTGGGGTGTAGGAGGCTGGTGCTCGGGTAGATCTCAGCAAAGGAGAGTGACTCTCAACTCCCTTTCTGCCTCCTGTCACTGCTGCCTCTGGAAAAGTTCATCAATTCCCCCACCAGCCATAGAACCTTGAGCCTCACCTGCTGTGTGCAGCTCTCTTAGGCGTCTCTCTTAAGGCCTGTTTCCACGCCTGCCATCCTCATTTGATGATAATGTCCCAGATGGACCAGAGAGCAAACCTTCCTGGCTCCTGATCAGCCTTTGAAACCTCAGTTGCCGTCTACTGAGGACTTGCCTTCCAGAATTAAACAAGGCCTCATTGTGCCCCATTGTGCATTGGGAGCCTAATTGACCAGCTGGAGCTCTACTGAAATTTGAAGCTGAGGAAAGTTTAAAGATAGGTGGGAAGAGCCAGGACAAGGGCAAAAGGCTTGTTTGTAATCCCAGCACTCTGGAGACTGAGGCAAGAGGATTACATACAAGTTGAAGCTAGCCTGGGCTACGTGTCAAAATTACAAGAAAAGGCAGTAAGTGCAGTTACAGCAGACAAAAATCTGTTAAGTGTCTTGGAGCCATATGTGTGTATGTGAGAAATTTCTTTGTGTTAAGTATTTTGTCTGCATGTGCGTGTGTCTACCATGTGTGCATCCACCATGTGTGCCTGCTGCCCTCAGGTCAGAAGGAAGTAGTCATCAAATCCCCCAGAACTAGAGTTGCAGATGCTTGTTAGCCACACTTTACTGCTGAAGCACCACCGCCATTTGAATATCACAGTCCTGGTGGGAGATGGGACTACAGGGACAAAGCCCTAGCTACCCAGTCACTATGGTAAGGGCCCTAAGGTACCTCCTACCCTGGGTCTCTCAGGACTTCTAGTACTCATGCCTAATTTCCTGGCAACCAAGCAGCATTCAGACTGGCAGGCCTAAGAAGGAATGGGCCCTAAAATGCCTGGGACTCCAAGAGGGCCACACCTGGCATCTAGCTTCTCTCTTCCTGTCCAACTTCAGCCCTAGTGTTCCCACTATCCAAGGGGGCTTGAGCCTCATTTTTATTGCCTCAACCTCATGTGCAAACACTGTCATCATGAGAATACTATTCTCTGGACTCTGGTCCCATACCTCCTGCCCGTACCCAGCACTACTCTATTAACTAGGAATCCGCATCCAGATGTGTGATGTTCTGCCTCCTGTTTTGTATTTTGAGACTGATTCTTGTTTTTTGTTTTTGAGATGGTTTCACTGTGTAGCCCTGGCAGTCCTGGAACTCAACTCTAGATAGGCTGGCCTCAAACCCAGAAATCTGCCTGCCTCAACCTCTCTCCTAGGATTAAAGGAGTGCACCACCACCACCATCACCACGTGATAAAACTAGTTCTTACTGATACAGCATAAACTGCCCGAATTCATGGTCCTGCCTCATCCTCCTGAATGTTGTGATTATAGGCATGTGCCACCATGACCATCTGGTTCCAAGACTCTTTTGCTTGGTATGCTAGTGGGGAGTGATTCTGGTGCCCCCTTGCTCACTATAGATGGTAGGTAGAGTGGAGAGGAATAGGGATGGAAGTTCCCACTCCTTGGGTGGCCTCCAACCTCCTTCACACTCTGGCTAGTGATTCAACCAAGCATGCTGGGGATCCAGGCTGACCACATAGCTTGGGGGCAATGTAAGGACAGGGATACCATAAAGCAGGCCAAAATGACACCTAGGGAATGGAGACAAGCCAAGGGCAGCTGTGGGGTCTGTGCTGTTAGCAAATGCCCATCAGGCCCAGGCCATAACTAAAGGGTGCTTTTGATGCCTTTTTAAGGGATTCACTTCATTTAGGTTTGACTTGTGTCTACCTTTTTAACCCTGACTATCAAGACAAATCCATGGGAAGGGAATGCAATGGAAAAGCTTTCTGGAAGTGTGATGAGATGGGTTCTCCCAAAATGCCCTGCAATCTTAAATTCTTTAGCAGATTCTCTAAAGGGAAGAAAAAAAACAGGGCTGAGTACAGATAAGGGAAGGCCAAGACCACACCCTCATTTCTCATCCTTTGTGATTAGCAGCAGTTGTGGCATCATCTGAGATTTCACCCAAGCAGATGGCCGCTCTCCAGGAATAGCTGTCAGTAAGCAACTAGAGCCACATGCTGCCTGACTGGCTGTGCTTAACCTTTCCAACACTCACAACTCAGTTCCACCATTGAAATGTGGGGGACCTTAAAGTTCTGGCCTCCTAGAAGGGCAAGCCCAGAATATCCCCATCTTTGTTCTTTGGACTTGACAAGAGACCAAAGGTATTTGATGCCAAAGTCCTTGGGTAGAGTTAGGCATGATTCTCATGCACCTTCCCCTTCCACAAGTGCACACTGTGTCACCCAGAAGTACAGGGTGCGGATGGCCTCCAGGTGGAGACTTTGTGCTACCTGAGCCAACACAAGTATTCCTGCAAAGCTTCCTTATGCACCTACCTTAAGGCAAGGAAAACAGAAGGCAAGTCAGCCTAACCACTGCTGAAGGGGTGGGGAAGTAAAGTCTGAAAAGGGAGCTTGAAGTGAGGCAGGGCCAGAGCCTCCAGGACAAACAAGCTTGGGAGCAGTGGCATCCAAGAGCACCAACCCAGCTGATTGAAATCTAGACAGAAGGGAGGGTTAACAGCACAGGTAGGTGAGCAGGGTATACTGTGCACCAACCTGCTTACAGAAGTTTGTGTCATCTGACCTACGACAAAGCAGCCAAGGCCACAACTCAGACACTGTCATGGTGGGCAACATCTCCAGGCTGCCATGACTGGGGAGAAGGGCACTGGATTGAGGAGGTTGGGGAGCAGTGGGATTTCCTAGCAGACCATCAAAAACGAAGTGATTTCTCCTTGTGGAGAAGTTGGAAGGATTAGGGAGATACCTATCCAGGCTGAAGGTGGCTTGTTTAGGTGGGTCTGATACAGGGGATTCAGGGAGAAAATGAAATGTGATGTTGAAGAACTGAGGCCCAAATGCTAAGAAGTCATCCAGCCGGAGCCTCCACCTTGTAAGAAGCTGTTGGGATTGTGATAGTTGGTGGACAGTACCTGTGAACCCTCTGCCTAATCTCTGTGAATACTTAGCAGCCACATTATTGGCATCAGATCATCACACATCCAGTCTGAACACATGCTGTTATACCAGGTACCACTGTTGCTGCACTGTGGGCGTCGGGGGAGGCAGGGCTCACGCCAGCAGACTACAGATTTCAGAAGTGAAAGGCTTGATAAACCCCAAATGTCCCATGCTGGACCACCCTGGAGAAAACAAAAATCAAAGACAGACCCACCAAAAAGTGAGTTTGCAGAGGACCACAGGGTTATCAGGATGTGAGAGGATCATGATCTCCACATTTTCTTGTACAACTCCCCATTAATTCTGCCCTTTTCTTCCTTCCCTCTCCTAACTTCAGGTACTATCTGCCCTTTTCATACTTTGTAAACATATTGATACAGTTCTCTCTAAGAAAACTAAATAGTCCAGGTGTGATGGTGTAGGTCTCGGCATGTGGAAGGTAGGGGCAGGTGGATCCCTGTGAGTTCAAGGCCCATCTGGTCTACAAAGGAAGTTGCAGGCCAGCCAGGGCTACACAGGGAAGCCTTGTCTCAAACAAATGAAAGAAAGATACCCTCACAATACTATATTAACTCTTTGTCTACTAGTAAAAATAGTTCTGGATCTCTTGAATGTTTCCTTTGCCATCTGACAGAGAAGGGTGGAAAAACATTCAGGAGGAAATGCTGCTTTCTGGCTCTGGTGGCTTCTCCCACACCGAAGGTCCTGGGATGCAGAACAGCCATTGGCACCCAGGGTCCTCAAGATGTTTTATGTCAGCATGCTAAGAGGGCCATCTCCCATAAACAGCTTTAGCAGGAACTCCAGAGGGCACCAGCACAGTCCACCAACATGGCATTACAGTAATTTCTATGCCATTCAGTGAGCTTGATCTATGCCCTTTTCAACAATATCTGTACCTCAGATCTGGGATACAGGACTTTAAGTCTCTAGTGGCTGCTGCTATTCTGCTTATCTGCTTTTCCCCTGTATGCTTGATCTTTGTGAGTTCTAGACCAGCCAAGGCTACATAGTGAGACCTGCCTCAAAAACAAAACAAGAAGTGTGCATAACACGATCCACTTTAAGTATGTTTAAATATACAGTTTAGTAGCAGCAAGTGCATAGCCATGTATCTTCCTCAACTGGGACTCTACCCATTAAACTATCCTCTTCTTCACTCCACCCAGTCCAGTTCTACTTTTGCTGTTTCGCAATGCTGATAATCTAACCTGGAGCCTCAGGCATGCTATACAAGTGCCTTCACTCAGAGCCATACCTTCAGCCCCATTCTACATTTTTATCTCTATGAATTTGGCCATTCATATAAGTGAAACCATATGATATTTGTCCTTTGGAGGCCAGGTTATTTTGTCCTTAAGGGCCATACCTGGCCTAGCCTATATCCAGATTTCATTCTTTTGTTTTGTTTTAAGATTTATTTATTTATTTATTATATACAGTGTTCTGCCTGCATGTATGCCTGCAGGCCAAAAGAGGGCACCAGATCTCATTATAGATGGTTGTAAGCCACCACGTGGTTGCTGGGAATTGAACTCGGGACCTCTGGAAGAGCTGCCTGCTGTTGCTCTTAAGCTCTGAGCCATCTCTCCAGCCCCCAGATTTCATTCTTAAATCCATTCCTTTTAAAGGCATATACAGTTTTTTGTTTGTTTGTTTGTTTGTTTTAACAAAAAACAAACTTGGAAAGAAAAATACTCAACTTCATATGGAAAAACAAAAGACCCAGGATAACTAAAAGAATCCTGTATAATAAAGCAACCTCTGGAGGCATCACCATCCCTAACATCAAGCTCTACTACAGGTTGGTACTGGTATAAAAACTGACATACAGACCAATGGAATCGAATTGAAGACCCTGACATTAATCCATGCACATATGAACACCTGATTTTTGACAAAGAAGCCAAAACTATAAAATGGAAAAAAGAAAGTATCTTCAACAAATGGTGCTGGCATAACTGGATGTCAATATGTAAAAGATT